ATGAAGTTGTGACTTTCCTCCCTGCCATGGTTCTCATATGTCACTAGAATTTATTTTTTTTTCTGTGCAGAGCAAGAAAAGAGTTTTCAGTCTGGGAAGGAACAGGCTACTAATTATTTATCTGTAAATGGTTACCACAAGATGGAAGTGATCAGAAGTCCCTGTGTGAAACAGGGGAAGGGCTGAGATGATCACAATCGTGCAATAGGAAAGAACAACACTTGTAGTAACTGAGCACTTCCATGGAACAGCTGGAGTCTCAACAGTTAAAGGGCCCTGATTCAGCAAAATACTTGCTAAACTTTCAGCTTTTTTTTTTTCTGTATATAGCCTAAGAAGAACTTTGGAAGAGGGTAGAGGGGACAATAAACCCACATTTCCTCATTCAGAGTCCTAAAGATCTAATCGTACATGGGGGAGTTTTAAGTCAAGTAACTCAGGCATTAAGGAGCTAAAAGAAAGTGTAAGGCAGAACAGCTCACAGCCCATGTTAGTCTGCAGAGTCTCTGAACTCCTCAATATTTACATGAAACCATTTTAGACTTTTTCAGACATTAGCAAAGCAAGTGCAAGCAACATGAATGTCTTTGAGTCTGTAAGTGCATCACACTTACGCATCCCCTCTGAATTGGAAATTAGTAGAGCTTAAGTTAGGGTACACAAGGGCAGCAAAAATAAGGGATGGAAATCTGAGTTACTCAGGCTCTTCTCCTCCCTTTGCTAAGAACAGGCTAAACGCAAAGGCATTTTCACTCAGAGCTCAGGAAGAGTCATTCCTGTCACCTCTCACACAAGGAGGGTTCCCAGACCCATGCTTCTCTCCGTGCCCTCTAATTTCTTCTCTCTGAGCTTGGTCCTACTGTGAAGTGCTCCTCTCAGTATCCTTCTCGTGTGTGAACCGTTGTCCTAGGGACTGGATGGAGGTGGGTGGGTTATATTTTAGGCTACTGCAGGAAGGGAGTTTGCCTTTTGATGTATATTGCAAAGCGCCCTATGTGCTGGCAGCCCCTTATAAATAACACCACAGACTCGCTTTGCACTTTGATGAAGCAAGTACTTACAGTAGTTTTCTTTACAGATAGCGGGGGGAGGGCAGGAGGAACAACGGTCCTTTTCTTAATCGTAAGCGTTGTCTCTTGCTCAAGATAAAAGATAAAACCTATCGCAGGTGTTCTACATATGTGTCCTGTTGCTTGTTGGGTGACGTGCTGGTAAACAGAGATGCTCTCCTCTCACAGACAGCTGATTTTGCTTTTCCTTTTGATTTCTCCGTGGCCCTGCACAGTTGAGCTTGCCCGAGCTCAGCAGTAACAGCTGCTGGAAGACACTTTCTCTCTGACGCCGTAGATGCTGTTTTTAGGCTCTCAGATGTTTCTTGCTTCTACTGAGCAGATTTTTGGCCAACATCTCTGTCTCAGATGTGTTGATTCCAGCTGATTCCTCAGCCTACTATTTTGCTCCACTTATACAAGATTGCTCTGAATAAATCACCACTATCAGGCAGGGGTGAATCCACAAGGCGCTTTTCAGAGGTGTTTCTATTAGAAATTTCAGAAAGTGCCACCAATGTCTTTTACAAAAAGGTTAATGTATTATTGAGAGACCTTGATTGTCCATTCCTTTATAATGTCTTGCATTGTAATTCGGAGGAATGGGATATAAAGATGCTATTAAAAGCTGCCAACTTTCCCAGCATAATCTTTTTTTTCCCTCCACCTGAATTGCCTGTATTATGCAGAAGTAGAAGCTCTGACAGGCATTATGATGCTGTATTCTCCCCAGGTTTACGTGCAGTGGCATGTAACAGGTACACATTTGACACCACCTAACTCTTTAGTGGTGATGACTCCACATCCTTTTAGAAAACAGGCTAAACTGCCATCTCCTGCCCCCAAAAATCAGTGCTAATGCTCCTGAATGGATTTAGCTACATTGGATTCCAAAACTGTATGATGGACAGCCTCACAATTTATCAAATTAACTCTGCGTTATCAAACTGGGAATAGAGATGCTTTTTCCCCAGTTTTCTCCATTTTTCTCTAGAATAATGGAGGCCAAATCATTCCAGACAAGAACTGCACAGTAATTGCAGTTGGTATTGTCATACAGAGCCTGCAGTGATTTTACTGGCTCAGAAAAGTTCGGTCTGTTGGAACATAGCAGGTACACTTGGAAAATCAGCACCCTTTCCATTCAACATTTTTATTGCTGAAGTAAAAGCTATGGTCCTTTACTCAGGTGGGTCCTCACTCGCAGGGGAGGTTTGCCTGAAGGAATGACTGCACTGTTTGGCTTTATGAACTTACCATTATGATCACCATTACCAATTTTGTGCTTTCTACGATGATCCATGACCATTAATTAATGTTCAATGCATTTTCCTAGCAGCTCTATCACCCTCTCAGCATCTCTGGGGAAACTCTCCTCAGTTTTACATGGCGAGCAGATGATGTGTGAGACTAGGCTGGGTCAGAATTAGCATATCAATCAGAATTCAGGAGTTCCAGGCTGCTGTTCCTCTTCCCAGATCACTGGATCCTACTTCTTCCTCCATCACAGCTATACTTTTCAAACACACTCTCACTGTAAGCCCTGTGTCAGTGCAATAATAAAGGGAGATTTTTCTGTGTGCTCCTGCCACAGAAATCAAATTAAAAGGCAGCTTGCCTCTGACAGTCAGCACAAGTCCTCTGCAGGTTCTTCACCCCACACAGATAGATCTAAGGCTCCCATTACGTGTGACTTCATTTATTTGTTTGGCATTGCAATTTTACACCCTGGTTCATAAACACTGTGTCAGGTTGCTGTATCCTCTTTACTCTGGCACTGACAAAAATTATAACACGACGGTACTATAGTATTTATAGACTTAAAATCTGCAACCATCTCTTGCCAGACCTCATGAATACACTAGAAAGGTTCCGAAGCATTACAGTACATTTACACAAAGTACCTGCCTTAATTTCTTTTTAAAACAAGCTGTTGAAATCTAAACTAAGAAGAAAGGTACCAACTTGTTAAAGCTATTACATTTTTATTTTTTATGGTACTTATAAAAATGCTGCACTTCTCTGGCCAAATGCTAGCCAAGAAGCCACATCTTCCTATCTAAATTTTGTACTTATCTCAAGTGAGTTTCAGAGTGCATAGCTTGTATCTAAACAATTTTTCATGTACACTATAGTTTTGTGTTGATATACAGCTGCCAGTGGGCAAAGTGATTCCCATGTATAGGGGAAAGCTCTCTTGTATAGCAACAGAAACCTTCCTAGTACTGAGACACAGAATGATACAAGGTCAACAGGGGATATATAGAATATATCATGGACTATAGGTCATGGCCTGTTCTGATTATCATGTGGTCATGAAGGTACAGCAGCATAAAAACAAGAAAAGTAAGATTGCCTTAAAGACAGTCTGACATGCTTCTCACCCATATCATTCCCCTGCCGTTCGAAGGCAAACTTACAATGTTTTATTGTTTTGGAGGTGTTTTTTCCCCCCTATGTTATTGTAATGAGGTCAAGAGAAAAGTCTGGCTAGAACACTTAGCATCACTTTGAAAACAACAACTAGTGTCTGTGCTTTAAAAGTGTTTTCTGCTGTGAGAACCTTATAAATTTTCCTGTGATGAGAAATTCGAAGAAATTCTTAGACAAATAAAAAAAAAAAAAGTTGCTTTCAGAAGAATACCTGGAGGTTCTTCTGGGCAGAAGGTGGTCAGAGTAAAACTCAGATTGCTAAAGTAAGCTAAATGAAAGTAAATCTGCATTCTATAGAGCAAGACTTTGATTTCAAAATCTAATATGCAACTATTTCTTGTGTTGCTTAACTGTGAACAGGACTGAACACGTGCATTTCCAGGTTTTAAATTTAACAGAGTATTATAGCAGTGTTTCCACTTCTGCATTAGATAAACTTTAGTGCTAAAATGGAATATTGGGATCTTAATGACTTTTCTTTAACAAGACCTAAACTTTTAATTAACCTGCCAAGACAAATTACAGCCCATACCTCTTAGGTAACTATTGAAGACAGCTGAGACTCAACACCAATGCCTCTTCTGGGAGAGGGATTAATGGCAGCTTTGGAATGAGTCTGTTTTTTCAGCAAAGAAAAAAAGTCCATTAAACAATCACTGTGGCTAGACGAAAGCTGAGTGCTAGTTTTATGGAGCAATCTTTAAATTACAACCAAATGAATTTGGGTATATGAACAGTTTCAGCAGGTCAGTCAAAATGAAAATTAAATATTATTGAATCAGAAACAGATTCTGATATTTACGGGGTGGAGGAAGAATAGACAGTGTGCTAAGCTGTCAGGCAGCCCACAGGCAGCATCCTTCCCTCCTCAGACAGCAACAAATCGGTGTCTGTGTCCTGAACTGGCAGGGCACTTTACTGCCAGAGAAACTCAGAGACCTTATTTAGTTAATTTGTTCTTCTTAAGAAACCTCAGCTTCTTTCTGTTAGCAAGGGGAAACAAAGAATCCTGTTATTGTGCCTCCTACAACCAAGCCTTGCAGTGATCTTTATTGGAGTTTTAACCCCAGTACTGTGCCTGAACTTCAACTTGAGTAATTTTGACAGTGCTCAAAGGCAGGACTGTCTGTCACACAAAACTGTTGCACAGTGCTGCTGTGTGCTCTTCAATCATGCCTACATCTCTGCTCCACAAAGAATAAAAAAACAACCAATCAAGCAAAAAAAAAAAATCCTAAATCAAAAAAGATCAAAGGAAAAAAATGAAGCAGGGAATTTCAAGCTTGTAATCCATCTTTGGCACTGGGTAGAATCTCGTTACGGATATAATTACTAGAAAGGCCTACAAAATACTTATGAGATATTTAGGGCCTAACAGTATTCAGCCTGATGCTAAATACATCCTCTACAAGCATTCTCACTGAACCACACAAAGCTACCATGCAATCTGAGTATGTGCACTAATACCTGGCCTCCAGGCATATTTAGGAGTTTAGGAATAATACAGGAAATCCTTACCAATAGCAGTAGTAAGAAAAGAAACCACTTCCGATTCCTTGCCATCGTTGTAGAAGGCTAAATGCCATATTCCTGAATCTAAATACTGGATAAACCCTGTCTCATGGCTGGACAAGGGCACAAAAGCTCTGTGTTGTCGCTGAGGTCCTTCTAAGCTTCTCGCCTCCTGTGTCAGTAGACGTCTTCCATCAAGGAGCTCGACAAAGTCAAACTGAAACGTAAAAAAAAAGAGTGGTGTTTGCGTGTATTTCAGGCTTCCTTAAGCTTAGCCTCTTGTGCTGGGTCTGTCTTATGAGGGAGACAGATATACTTTGTATTGAGTGTTAGAAAAGTACATCTACAGAAGCATCATAAACAGGATCTTCTCTGGTAACTCAGATACGTTCCTGGACTACCTGCAAGTATCCATTTTGGAAATAGCTAGTATATGAATGTATTTTTCTGTAATTACATGAATAAAGAAATTATCTTCATTTGGAATGTGACTTGGGGCATATTGGCCCAACTCATGTGTTCTCATTCTGCAGAAACATAGGCATGGAAACGTGTCTAAATTGCACGGTAAGTATGATGATAAGAAGCTTATTTGTTAGCTTGCTTGTGTCTTGGCTAATACAGAAAATAGACAGAAAAATATCTCTAGCCTAACCAGCTTGTTTGATAGAATTGCTATGGGTCACTAAGGAAAAGATAAAAAGTATTTGTAAATAAATTCTGGTAGAGGTTTTGCAGAAGTATTTTGCTTAGCCAGCAAGGGTTTTATCTTAAAGCAATAGCAAAAGTGGTTAAATGATTGTAGAAGGTGAAGATGGAAAAGAGATAAAATAATATATAAAAGTCCCATTTAGGGGGTGGCTTTTCGAATTTTTCTCAAAAGAGCTTTGCGTTTTTTTTGTTTTTTTTTTTTTTGCCATGGTAACTTCAGCTGAACAACTGCTTTGATTTTGCTGCTAGTATAGCAACTACCTTTAGTTCCCTATTTAAATAACTTTCCACTGACTTTCTGCAATAATTGTATTTTGTCTGGTAATATATTAATGGGAAGAGTCAGATACAAGCCTAGCAGACATGACAAGTGTTAAGAGAACTTTATCTAATCTGACTTTTATCTTGTGTTCAGGTGAACAGGACATCTTGCAAGCAGAATCCAGCAGTTGAGGCACAGCTTAGCTTTTCTATTCCCTGACTTTACTTGGGTTTGCCTCTCTCCTCCAGCTGGTCAAATAAACTTGTAGCTTTTGGCAGGAAAGCAGAAAAAAAGGCAGAAAGAAACACCACCACTTATTTTTGTACTAGAGAATGTTGCTGCACTGAACGGTTGCTGAGTGTTGGCTGAGTGTGGCAGCAGTATTTAGGCTTCTTATTCCTTTTGACTCCACTGTAGCAAAATCTGGGCGCTTCTGTTATATTATTAAGTTGCCTGGTACAGTCTTCGAAGTCAACCAAGATAAGGACTTGATGACATGTTCTTTCCTCTGCAGTCGTTGTTAAGTAAAAATAATAATTAAAAAAGTTTATTTCAAACAATATTTTGGAAAAATAAGCTATATATGATGTAGCTTGCACATGAACTGACAAAATTTGTCCCTAGGATAATTTAAGTACTGTATTTTTAATTATTTATTTACATGAAATAAGTTTTGGGCCTTGCTTTTTTTTTTTTTTGCTATATTTCAGTACATAGATCTCTTAAATTTGGTGTCGTCTTGAGAATGTAAAAGCTGGCACAGCTGCAAAGGGCATTCCTTTTGGGTGTCTACCCAAGTTAGCTTTGTCAGAGATAGAGTTTCTGTTTCAAAAAATAATATTATGTAAATAGAAATTATAAAAATATACAATATAAAAATATAGATCTAGAAACGGAATGTAAATATAAAATCTAAAATATATAATAAAACATGTAAGTTTCTGTTTTGAAAAAAATACATTGATTTAGTGGTTTTAAGTTTAAGGGGACAGCAGTGAGAGGTTGGTTTGAATGACACTTTGTGAGCCAGGTATTCGTAGCCACTCTGAGGACGAGCTATTGCCGAGGCTGATTCCTCACCAGGTCTGAGCATGGCCACGACTGACAGCTGAGAAGGGCAGTGACAGAGGACATCACGGTGCTGTCTGGTTGCTGGGAATGTCTCAGTGGAGTTGAGCTTGACTGAGGAACACATTGGCCAGGTGTACTGAAGAAGACCAGTAACAGAAAAACCTACATATTTCCATTTCTATTTTAGAGCATGATGGAACAGATTGCTTAGATTTTTAAAAGGTAACTGCAGACACAGTAGGAAAAGTTCATCTCACCAAGTGCTGACATCTCCGTGGCAGCTTGAATTAGTTGTCTAGAACCACTGGATTGCAGTCAGAGACACTTCTAGCATGCAATCTGCCTCATCCTAAAGTCGACATCTCAGAAATGTTTCATGGATTGTGCCTTAGAACATCCATTTCTTGCTACATACTAGGTGTAGATGTTTTAAGTTTAGTGAAAAGAAAACAATGTCAAGGCACCCAGCTCCAGTGAACTGCTGTTGTTAGAGCTCCGTCTGGGTTACGCTTACCTGGGGCTTCCTGCCAAAAGTAGAAGTTTATTTATATAAATATTTGCAAGATGCTGCTTGCGGATGTTGATGACTTTGCAAAGTTACTAGTTACAAGTTGTAAATATTAATTGAACCACAAATGGGCTGTGCTTTATTGCATTTTAATACATTCAGAGATTTTTTTAATATGCAATTAAAGTTATTGCAAGCAAGGAAATTGTAGATAAAATACCATGTTAATCAATTCAAATTGTACAAATGAAAAAATGCCTCCCACAAGCTGTGATGGCCAATCCCTGAAATTTATGATTTAACAAAATTTGGCCTAGGTTAAAAAGAGTTTAAGAAATGATTTGATCTAGGAAGATTAAATCTAATAGACCATAATAAAATTGTGTGACTTTTATTACGATTTGTTGAGAAGAATGAGAAGAAATGCCTTTAGTTAACAGTAAACTATTCCGGGCTTCTGCAGGCTCTATTTCTAAGACCACATAAATTTGGAGTTTGCATTTTCTCCCTACTTTTTAGTGTCCTTGGTTGTTGGAAACCTTGACCAGAAGACAGATCACCACAGGCACAGAAAGTTTCCCAAAGAGAACCTGGAATAGTTGGTTGGTTTAGCATGGATAAATATGACTTCTAACATTTTACCAAATTCAGGAATATATGCTAAAGGGTCTACAGTCTTGAGATCAGTTCAAAGATCCTGAAAAGGTATAGACTATGTTAAGGCTCCCACTACAGAATAAGGATTATCTAAATAGAAGAAATATATAATTATCTAACACAGAAGAAAACCTGATTATAAACTAGAATTTTACTACTCCCATCAACTAGATAAACTGAGGAAAAATAGTCAAATTCGTCCGGGGGAGACTGTATCACTGCTCTAAGCACACTATTTGCCAAAGTCTTGTTTATGAAATTCCTTACAAAATTTGGAAATATCAAATTCATTGGGTAGATTTATGGGGTGCAGCAGATGCTCTGGATTATTCAAAAGAAAAGCTGAGATTTGTGTAATATGTATTAACTACGAGAGACAGGTTTACAATTTCAGCACAGAAAACAGTTTACCTATTTAATGACTCCTAAGACTCCTAAAACTGATAAACTATAGTGAGATTAAACATCATATAAAAATATACAGGAAAACAATGTTTTAATTGACAGCGGGTTTATGAAATAATAAAGCTAGGGAAAGGGATAATTTAAAAACTAAATTAAATATTAACAAATAACAAATCAATATTGATTCAATATCTACAGCTTCATTATTTCTTCAGAACAGGGTGGGGTTTGTGATTTGTTTCTCTTAGTGTACCATGATTATTATCGTTTGGATAAAAATGTCCTTCTGGTCATTTTTTTGTGATGTTTTGGTCCAGACGATGATGATTTTTTTATATACTTGGCAGCTCTCAATTAGTGGCTACACAAAAAGCAGCACGTACAAGGATTCTGAGCAAGGGCATTGGCTCCTCAAGCACGTCATATCGACAAACATGTGCCACATCCAACAGTCAACATCTCGTTCTCAACTGATACACAATGATGCTGTTTGAAATGGAAAGGTCCTGACACTGACAAATAACTGAGAATATCGCAGAAAAAAGGAGGTTTAAAGAAACAAAAATCAGTGGTGGAGTTGGTGTGGACTTCTTAATTGCTTAAAACATTACTATGGTTGGGTATAGTGCCCTGCTGCACTTCAAGATTTTGCTTTAATTTCACTAGACTTGAGGTTTAGGTGTTAAATTTTACATTTGTTCTTTAAGCAATCGAATCTATTCGTGCAAAAACTCCTGTTCCATAAGAGAAATTAATAATGACAATAAACAAGTAAAATCAATACAGGCTTCTGATCTACAGTTAGCTTTACGTGACCATGCCTTGAGTTTCCATTTAAATAATACAGGAGTTTTAAGTTTTAAATGTTTGAATCTCCCTGTAAAAAGAGACTGATTAAAAATGGGCAATAACAGCACTACTGAGTCACTGAATTTATGACCTGCTGATCCTACTGAAATATTTTAATTCTGCAGAAAAGTACGCAGAGAAACTGTAGATTTATGACACCTCTTTGACAGAAATAAGTTGCAGGTGTGTTAATATGTAGAAAATACCCTATTACCCAGAAAGATTGTAATAAACATATTTGTTTGCTCAAAAAGAAAATAAGGGCAGGGTATTTCTATAAATCTCAAATAGTTGTGATGGATGCTAGGCTTTTCAGTTAACAGTGGAGGGCAAGGCTAAGTTACAACATTAATATAAACCTGCTAATACTTTGATAACTTGCTGATGCAAGTGGGAGTAAGATGCTTTGCATTGCCAATGAGAGCTATGCCCAAACGTATTAATCAATCTGGTTAAGAGCGGCTTAGAAACTGAAATGGAAAGTACAGAAAATGGTGTACAAAATCCTTATTTAAGGGGATGGTTCTTCAGAGCTTTTCCCAGAAAGTGATTTCTTGACACGGCTTTTGCCAAGGTGTGTCAAGAAAAGCAACTGCTTTCATTTTAGTCCTACAAAATAATAACTACAGCTTGATTCCTGCCTAAGAAAGCTGGTACCTTTCTGTAAAAGCTTGATGTTGTTATACACCAGTTACTGGGCCCTGACCGATCTCAGTCTAATCTGACAGTCAACACGCATAATGTGAAGAGGTGGCTCAAGGCATTTCAGCACAGAAGACAAAAGTGAATTCTGCTCCCTTGAGGGTGAGCGACTGGAGTCTTGCTGCTCTTACCCTGAAAGGGGAAAGGCGGAGGCTGAAAGGCAGAGACAGACCTGAGATACATGAGACTGCTTAAGAGATTATTCTTTTTTTGGTGTCGTTTGATGTGGCGGCCGCTGCTGCGAGGCACACTGGATGGAGAAGGTGCTATCTTGTGCTGCTAGGAGCCACCAGCTGATACCCTCAGTGACCACCAGCCCAGTAAACCCTTCTCCTCCTCTGGCAGCTTGCTGTCTTGGGCAACTGCCTGCTTTTCCTGTGCCTCCAGCCCACACCAGGTTCACGTGTGGAAATTTTGCAGTTGTCAGTTGATTATATTTCTCTGGATAGATGACTTTTAACACCTTGCAAGCATGCAACAAATTCTTGACAGAAATAGCTGAAATAAAACAATAAGCCACAAGAACATACAATTTAAGACAACTATTATTTAATTGAAATGAAGTCTCATTACCTGTGTATGTGAAGGTGGGAGGCCTTTTCTGCCATAGATGCCAACCAGAGCAGCCTTTCCTAAAGAAACATTGAATTTCAGATGCACTGGGTGGTCGATGAACACCTGAGATCTCCAAAAGATACCAGGAGGGATCTTCTGTGTGGCTCGTCTGCCAACATCAATTTCTCCAGAGTCTATAAAACTGTCGTCTGGAAAGAAACTACTGGGCTTTCCTGCCAAAACACAGGAACAAAGAGCTTGGATTAGCCTTAGATCCTAAAAGTAATCCAATCATACTGGTATCTCTGACACTAATCTTGAGAAACAGTCTATTAGTGTCCTGAGGTCTTCAGAGTACTTTGTCTAGCCAATCCATATGATTCTGGGAGGAAAACTGGCAGGGTTATTCCTGGCTTCAGTAACTGTTTTGTTTGAAAACATGAACATGGGAAGAGCAACCTGGAGAAAAACGGCCTTTTGTTTAAATTGTAACATCAGAGAGTATGTAATTACATTCTGAAGATAAGAATAAATCACCCGACACCGTATCTTAAACGAGCATAAGTTCACGGATGGAGAAGTTGTCATTAAATTAGAAAGAGAAGTGTAGTAAGAGTGAGGCAGATGTGTCACAGAAAGGAATGGTAGTGTGGAGAATAGCAGCATGAACGATGCCTAAGTGGGGAAAGGAAAATATTTCTCTATTAAATTAATTTTTGACAGTGCTAACAGTATTTGAAATTTGTTCAACAGTCCAAAAAAAAAAGCTAAAGGAAAAAAAGGACTGAGAAAAATGAAGGAAATCATACCCTGCACTTGAGTAATATCTACTAAGAAACATGAGAGGTTTTAATTGGGTTTCAATACAATCTTTAAAGGGTGTTACAATTATCCATCTTTCAGACGACAAGCAAACGGAGGCAACTGTTTCTTAAAGCGACCACCAGGCTGAAGAGCCAGATGCCAATCAGTACATGCCACAACGTCCAAAGGGAGTCAGCAGGGAGCTGGGCATCCCTGGAAAACACATCTGAGAAACTGCAGGTTAGAAATTCATACACTCACAGTTCTCAAAACTGGTGGCTGCTTCAAAAAAATCTGGACCCCAAGGAAGCCCAGAGAATGAGGGGCTGAAGGAAAAATAAAATGCCAGGATGTTGTCTTTTCAGCCTTTGCTATAACCAGTGGCCACAGCTTTACCTGCACTGCAGAAAGATAATGAAGGCGGCAACTGTTCAGCAAACAGCCTTTATTTAAGGACACTTCTAGGTGAAAAGTATGCAGTAGCGTCACCTGAATGATTTTGGCTTAAGTAAGGAGAGCATCATGTCACCAACAGGGTCTAATTATTAATTTCAGAAATTCAGATAAATCCGTTATCTCCGTGCCATTACAGCACGCTGCTCTGTTTGACAGACGAAGCAATTCTAAGAAAATGAGAAGGAATCTTTCAGGTACATACAACGTTTTGTAGGAAAATCACACTGTGAGATTTTGGGTTTTGTCTTCCAGAACCTACATTTGGGAAACAGGAAACAAAAAAAAATCTTTTCCTACCCATCATGAATTCAAGTCAAATAGTCTTAGAATTTACTTGTTGTGTTGAAAAGGTGATTGGTAGAACGACTTTTAACTTTATGGTTTCAAACGATAATATTTCTTATGATATTATACAGCATTATTTATAATATTGCCTTCAACTTCTCCATACACCATCCCAAGATAAATTCTTCAGGAGAAACAGATTTCAACTGTTAGTTGTGTCTAAAAATCTGTATAGAAATTACATGCATATTAACAGAAGTCTCTGAATACGTTTCTTTGTGGGATGCAGAATTTTTCTTTTTTTTTTTTTTTTTTTTTTTTAATTAAGTAGAAGTTTTTAGCAGAACTATTGGTTCCAATAAATCTAACCCCTGATTTAAAGTTAGCAACTGCTTAAGTACACTGCTGGAGCGGGACCTGATGGCAGGTTTCATCTCTGTGCTATCTTGTGGCAGAAGTTTTATGCATCTGAGCACAGTCTAGAAAGCAAAGGGTGTGCACACATTCATGAAAAAAAAGCTCCCGGTAATTTTATAAGATCCTAGTTTATCTCTGTTCATTGCATTCAATTAAATACAGGGGGGAAATCTGCTAATGTTTTATCCTGTTTTAGTCAAAATGTGTATTAATAGAGATAATCAGAAGCAGCTTAGGTAAATGGGCATACTTTCCAAATTATTTTGTGATGATACAATAAAATTGTCTAATGAAAATTAACTAGCTTGATTCCGAAGGGGATTACTTTATCAGCTGGATTGTTAATATTTATTTGGAACACTAAAAATTACTTTTCACACTGTCAGGATTAAGGGACACGGTTCCCATGTTTTCATGCAAAGTTTCAAATTCCATTATGGTAAGATGAAAAGATTCAGTTAGAAAAGAGCAAAAGACATCACATGTTTTTGTTCAAATGAAGGATATATTTTTCTGATCACTACTGACATGTTTTATAGGTTCTTAGAAATTCATATGAAAACCTGAAGTGTTTGATCTGCACCCTGATTGTCCATTAATAAAGACTGTACATCAGAGTGAATCAGGGAAGGTGAGGATTTAATAGGATAGATGTTGCTGTGCAAGAGAGAGCCTGGAGAAGATGAGCACGGTATGTATTCTGCCTGTACAGGGAGCAGCAGCTGCTCATGCGACCAAAATGCTTCTGTGATTGCAAAAGACAATTTCACAGAAATAACTGTTTGTACACGCAATTACAAAGTTTATGTCTCCTCTTGGCGGACAGCTGTATGTCTAGGAAGCTGATACCCTGCGAGCTGTTGTATCGTGTTGCCAGCAGTTGACATTTATCCTGATGCAGAAGTCCAAAGAAAGGCTCTCTTCACCAGGCTGAGCTCAGCCCCTGAAATCCATCTGTGTTTCATCAGTTTTAGCCTACAGTAAGATCAGGCCCTATGGACTGGATACTTCATACAGAAAGCACAATGAAAGAAAGCCATTTCAGCTTCTAATCAGAAATTAGGTTTTAATCAGAGTATCCGACTCCTTAAAATTAACTTCAGGTCCGAATTCTTAATTGGGCTGTCAATTACTTCGCTCTTTCCACACAATACCTTGAACTTTTTAGTTGCTGTAGCAACTATTGCTAAGTTATTTGGATATCAAAATGAACTATTTCATTTCAGGCCTTGCTGAATCTGCCGGTATTTTTGACAGCAAGACACCCTGACTCATCAAAACACTTAAGAACGCACATTTCTCTGACTTCAATCGCAGTTAATTACATGCTTAATTGTAAGCATGTGATTAAGTGCTTTGCTAAACAGGGATGGGCTTAAACACAGGTAAAGGCTGTGCTGGAGCACAGCCACAGGTGAGAAGCAATTACTGAGAACTGGCAAGACATTGGTAATGATTCATTCAGATCAGCTGTAAGGATATTCTAACACATTCCAGCCTGTTTTATTGTGATCAAGAAGACCTTCAAACATATTTCAATCCGTTTTTAATAAATGTCAATCACATACTTTCTGATTTAGAATAGCAGCCATTCAATGCTGCCAGGCCAGAACTAGTTTTATAGTCACTTGATGGGGAGAGAGATGCACTTTAATGCTGGGCAGTGTCACTCCTGCAATAAAGGTGTTGTCCTGGAGTGTTTTTTTTTTTGTCAGGACAAGATATTCTCCTTTAAAGCCTACAGGTGTCCTAAGATCTACACGAAGCACTAACTTGAGGGGTCTTCTAATGGCATAACTAGGGTATTACCCAGATCTTCTCTTTTAGCAGAGCTTTTTGGCAGCTATTAAAACTTCTAATGATGTCACTGTAAGCATGGCTAAAAAAAAAAATAATAATCAAGTGGAGGTCTTTGATTTGGACGGCAACTTTGGATACATCCATTTATTTTCATTTTGAGTTTCAAAAGGAAACGGACCGATCAAAACTAGATATTTCAAAAAAGAAAACATATGGCAAGTTAGAGGGGGAAAAAAAGGATCTGTCATGAAGTATTTTTGAATACAACAGCAGGGACATTTGCAGCTTGCTGTACTGTCTAGTAAGGTTTGCTGAGAATAAGCTTGCTTAGCTGATTTTTCCTTGTAGCAACTTGATGTCAGCCATCAGTTGCTAGTAAATACGCTGTTTTAAGGAACACACATAATTATGGCCTTTATTTGGACTAATAAAGACGGATAAGCTCTTAAAGAAAAAAAAATGCTACAATTAATTTAAATTAAAGATATAAACATTGGCTCTCAGCCAAAGTCTAGGGAACTCTGTGGAAACTTTTAAGTTCAATCAGTTGCCAGAACAGTAGCACACTTCTTATCTCTTACCCACAAAACTTCCTTCCCCAAAATAACTACCAAAAATAGCCAATGGCTTCAATTTTACTGAAATCTGTTAACGTCCTATAAAGAAGCTTGGCACGTAAACAAAACAGCTTTCTGAAAATTTGAATTTCTCATTTCTCCAGCTAAGTCTTGGGAGGGATGAAGCACCTCACCTTTGCACAGATTACAGGTCCTTTTGGCAGTGCTGCCCCGATACAAAGCACGGTAAGATGTAAAGCTGCCAGATAATGCACTGCTGAACTGATGACCCATCAGTTGCTTCTATTTTCAGTTTACATTGCAAGCTGTTGACACTGTGATACTTTGTGGAGCCTCGGCCTTTTATCTGGCTACTTTGGCAAAGAGATATCCAACTCTGGAGTCCCAAAAGTCACACTGTAATAGCTCTTAGTAAATAGTTTGGTCCTCAAAGCATTGGGTAAAGGTGGCAATGAGTAGGCAAACCCAAACATTTTTGTACTCTTGTCGAGAAAGATTGATCCAATGCTCCAAAAATCATTTAATTTCCAAGACACATTTATTTCCCATGAAAACAGCCACTTGAGGCAGGGTTTTCAGGATGGCCTTCTCTAGCCTGTCAGAGATGGCACAGAGGGTTCTGCCTTGAGAATGCCTTAGATGTGTGGTGAGGGTTGCACACAGTTTTAGCACATTAGTGGACATCAGAAGGGTGTGAAACTCAGAAACAAATGGAAACAAGACCGACGACTACTAGTGCTAGATGTGAAAGACCGGAAAAAGCACCTAATGATGGCAGCATTGAGGGTAATGGAACATGAGATTGGATGGCTGGAGTTCAGAGGCAGACAGAGGACTCACAACATGGACACACACCAACCGTACCTTCACTGGTTCCTTTGCCTTTCCTGTCAGGTAACTCTAACCCTGTGCCCCCCGAAGGATATAAGGAGACGTCCGTTGGCACTGGCCAACTGCTGGCTGTGTCTTCCGTGATTTCATACATCTGCCCTTCCATCGGCTGCAGGTGCCAGTTTAGGCCAAACAGGTGCATGGCTGTGGTGAGCAATGAGAAAAGTCATCTTTTTCTGTTTGGGAGAGTTTCAGAACTATAGGGGCACTTTCTAAATCCTTGCTTCACTGCCTTATTAGTGGTCATTGCTTTAGGACAAGAATAGGATTCATGTAATTAGACAGCCCCTGCTGCTTCTACCATACCAACTCCCTAGGTCTTTCCACACATTTAAGCTTGTTTCGGATCACCTGTACCAATCCACTCTGCTTCTTCCAGCAGAACCACTCCTGACTTGTGGTCTGCATGAGAGAATAACCAGGCACAGTGTTTCAGAAAGCTCCCAAGGCTGGAGTGGCAATGTGGTAAACACAGAAATACAAGGAGTATTATTCATCGACATACCAGTAAAACCCAGGAAACTGAACTCTGGTTTGTTTTGCTGTATTCACAGTGTATTATATAAGTTCTTTCTTTTTGTTTTTGTTGGTTTTTTTAACCCACCAATTATACACAGAAGTTCTTATAGACATCTCTGACAGTTTTTTCCTGAATAAGACCAAGTGAAAACTTGGCAATTTAAGATCCATTTTGCAGACATGCCTTTGTGCTCAGCACCAGGAATGAGAACAACTATGACTGAGCACTCCTTAGCACAACTCAGCTTCTCCTATTCAGATCAAAGACACATCCTCAAGATTTGAAAACAAGCAGCACCATTCAGATTTGTATGATATCAGGGCACAGCTCTCTGTAGGTTTCTGTGCTGTGCAGTCATCCAGTGCACACATGAATCTATTTCAAGGCACTGCATAAAGACAAGTGAAGTTAAGGAACAAGACAGAATATTTAAAAAGCAAACACATGCATGAGGTGTATGGAAAATCATATGCTTATACAACTAATACTTGCCCCTTGAAAAGATAAACCAAAAGAATGTGCCTTCCTGTATCGGTTCTTCCATCCCCAACATAAACATTTCATACTCAATCAGTATCCACTTTAGCTTCAGGCTCTACACAGTTAAATGATCCGATATTTGCTACACTTGACATTTCTTTTTTAAGGGAATGCCTTGATATTTTACACTATAATTTCTCCAAGAAACTGTGCAACGGCACAAAAAAAAAAAAAAAAAAAAAAAAAAAAAAAAAGAGAGAAAGTAAACAAATAGAGCATTTTCATTGCCTATAGTTCTCGTTTTATTCACAAAGATACATCTGAGCCTGGCAAACAATGTCAGGGACAAGTGTTCAGTTTATTTAAACCTATGCCTCAGGAACGATCTCTTCAAGAGGATTGGAAAGTAATCTGAGTAGTTCTCCAAAAACAGCATGTTTAGGCACTTTAGCAAAATCAGTGATTTTTTTTCCACTTCAGTCTCAATTAGGTCACCTACCATTTACTAACATGAATAAGCTTGTCTTTGCTCTACTACAACATCACAAAACATAATGAAAGCAAAACTCTCCTTTTACCATGTAAGCAGGGACTGGGTTTGTTAACAAAGTCTTAACCATTAAGAAAGAAAATACTCTCCTAAAAATCCCAAACAGCAAGGAAGCACAGCAAGGAGGTCTCCTGAAAACATTTTTATACAGATACACATACCAAGAAGGAATGCTACCAACACCAAGTTGAATTACCAAGTGGTAATTCAACCAGGATACTTTAGGCAGAGGGTCCAGTATTTTCATGCGAAAGGAGGGTATTTACTTGGCAGAGAAACTGTTCGAGGGAAGAGAGGAAATCAGACTGGGAGCAAGGAATTTGCATCAAGCATTTGGCATTGCTGTGCTTGTATAATATCTTTGTGTTTATACAGCCCTCATCATCAGAGTGCCTGGGCACTTCATTGCTATTAACCTTATAAAACCTCATCAGGTAGGAATCTATTATTTCTACCTCACAGAAAGGGAAAAGAGAACTACAGCAGATTAAAAGACTGACTCAATTCACTTGTTTGGGCATTAAAATGCAATTGGGTGTAAATTCACTTAATTTACCCTAGGCTCACAGGTTCACAAGCCCTAACAGGCATTTCATGCACCCCTCTGCCCGCAGATTTTGTGCTAAACTTAGTACTGGATGCTGTCTGAGAATGCCATCCAGGCTGGACCTCTCCATGGACCGGAGTTTAGATGCTCTGAGCATGTGCAAGTTTCCATGTTTAACCACACGGAAACTTGTAGTTCCAAACCAAATGAAAACTGTACTCATCTACATAGGTCCAGATTCCTTTGATGGCCCTAAATGCTTAATCCCAACTCCACCTACCAGATGACTCCATATTACAACAACTTGGATGAGCTTTTACCGGGCATCACTGGCTCAGGCAGGAAATGAGCCTGTGGAATTTTTTTTCACTACACCATTTGACTTGCTCTGTCTTTTGAATATCACAGTCTAAGTGCCACACAAACACTCAGGAACACACTGAAAGGCTATTGTTTCCCCAAAAGGACATTGTTTCCCTTTCTCTCCTTAGGAGGAATTTATTGCCTGTGGTTCAGTATTTACTGCAAGAAAATGAAGGTAAAGAACTCAGCATTGTTTTGGGTGTAGTGGGAAATCTATGAGCATTTCTTCCAGGAATGTAAAATGCATTTGAAAACACCTGAGAGGAAACATCTTATGCAGGGAACTTCTTGCTTCAGTGTAACGAAAGAATGGGTATCCTGGAAGTGCTATGGTTTTGTTGCATGTTATCCGTCCCCTTGAGCAAGTGAATCAACCATTCCATGTCATGATTCATTCCTAAACATTTGTAAAATGTCTTACAATGTCCCAACGTAGAAAATATGATAGAATTATCTGTAATATAGATATTGTGTTATCACAGATATAAAATGCTTGCATTAATATGTTAATTTTTGTCTTTGGTTAATAGATTTTGTCTAAAGCAAAATGCTTCTTGTGTGCATTGATCCCATCATCACGTAGATCATAGAATCAAAGAATCACAGAATGGTTTGGGTTGGAAGGGACCTAAAAGATCATCTAGTTCCAACCCCCCTGCCATGGAGAGGGACATCTTGCACTAGACCGGGTTGCTCAAAGACCTGTCCAACCTGGCCTTGAAGACCTTCAGGGCATCCACAACTTCTACAGGCAACCTGTTCCCATGTTTCAGCACTTTCATAGTAAAGAGTTCCTTATATCAAATCTAAATCTACCCTCTTTTCATTTAAAACCATTACCCCTTGTCCTGTCACTACAGGCCATGGTAAAAAGTCTCTCTTCATCTTCCTTATAATTCCCATTTAAGTACTGAAAGGCTGTAAGAAGGTCTCCAGTGATGACCCATAAAAATGAGATCTATGCACACCAGGCATACAAAAGTACACAAATCTGAGAAACACGGAGAATTATTTGAAAATAATTTTGTTTACTAAGCAGTTTCAAAAGAATTCAGAAAATGGAGTGCAAAATTTGGAGCTAGTGCTCTATTCAGGGTTTCTGATTTGATGCTTCTAACAACAAAATAAAAACCTATAAATATTCCCACCTATCATGAAATTTCTGCTGCAGGCAGGTAAACACAAAAGCCTTCCTGAAACCAGAACAAAGAGTTTGATTTACTTTGGAAACACAGTCTGGCAGCAGGTATGCTATTAGGAAATCACCTGATTGTTTATCATGACTATCTTCCAAATACCAATAATGTTTGACTGGCAAGCTGGTGGAAGATTCATTCCTCTGTTTGCTTCCACTAACTGCCATGCTCATGCTAAAAAGTCACCTAGTAACAGCAGTGGATGTTTTGGGTCTCTACTTGTCAGCAGGATGTTGATGCACACAGTTATTTAAAGGTTTTAGGAGAGGCACAAATAAAACTTGTTCTGTGCTAAACTATGCAAATTTCCTTCTTGTGTAAAAAAAAAAAAAAAAAAAGACCATAATCAGGGAAAAACCCTGGAACCATGGATGAGAGGCAAAGTCATATACTTTGAAGTGTTAATGTTCCTAAAAGCAAAGTGAAGCTGTAAAAATAGTTTGAGATTCCTGATGTTCTCAGTCTCCAGGTCAATGGAACCCACTGTTGACATTTTCTCTGGCTTTTTTTTTCCCCCCTCTGCTCAGCTAGATGTAAGACGTGTCTCACAAAGAGCAAATGTTCTCCTAAAAGGCCCCATGTTCTTCTCCCTCTCCCTCCCCAACATGATGCTTAGTAGATATTCAGATATTGAAGGCTCCCCATGTATTAAAAGAGCACACTGCAATTAACAATCATTAAAGTGTACCCTTTTGTAAAATACCATGTAGCTCTCACTGCCTAGGAAGCCTCATGACGTGCTCTTTGCAGAAGCTTTAGTTTTATTTCCCATGGCTAATAAAACTCTTCTGTCTGCCTTCTCTTGGAATGGAAACAACACTCAGTGAAAACCCTGCATGTGTCCTCTCTGGGCTGTTTCAGCACCAACAACTTAGATGATACAAAGGCATCCAGGGCCTCTGGCCCATTATGCTCGTGTTTTGACATCAAATCTTTGACTTGCACAACTTTTTAATTGTAGCTAAGTGCTTAGCAAAAAAAGTGCCCTGAAACATGCTGAGTGGGTAACAATTTTTTCTGTGGCAGAATAAACCACCTTATCCTCAGTCCTAAGTCACCTCTGGCCTTCCTCTTGGTGGGAAAAAGAAGGAAGCTGAACTCCAGTCCTTTCAGGGTTTAATTACTTTGCTGAGTTCAGCATTTCAGCCACGGCAGTGTGATGTGGCTATTCATTTGCTGGACTCAGACTCACTTTAGCAAAGCAAATTTACAAAGAGTTTAGCATCAGCTAAGCTATTTAAACCATCCAAATAAAGTTCATATTGGTGGAACCAAGTATTCAGGATCACGATTCTTTTGATTTTAACACATTATCTCTTCCTGTATTTCATTATTCCTATTCCATAGCTGTTTGTGGAGCAACATTAGCTGATCTTATTAAGCCAAATAAAGACAAACCCCGTTTCCAAGTTTGTTTTGAAGAAACCCAGGCTTTTGGGTATCTTTGTATTCTTGCTACTTGCTTATGACACAGCAAAACACTAAAGT